TTATTCATATATATATTCTCTCTCTCTCTCTCTCTCTCTCTCTCTGTCTCTCTTTCTCTCTCTCTCTCTCTCTCTCAATGTTTGTGTGTGTGTGTGTGTACATACATATGACCTTGAAACTACAAAGTGACATTTAGGGACACAAATAATATCAACACCAGTGGACATACCTCTCAAAAAAACAGCGTTTTTCCTGGTGGTCTCTTTAGACTCTGTATTTCCATTTGCCATTTAAAATTTTAAACTTGTCCTTATTCTGGGTAACTATTATGGCTGCTATTAGATAATCATCCTTGATAATAATGGTAACGTGCAACTGCAGTATATTTAGATGAGAGTCACCTTTGCAGTCATGGAGTTCAGAGGTTAAAAATGCAGACTCTGTATGTGTAACTCTGATGCCAATCCTGGTTTCTCTGCTTTCTCTCTAGGTAACATTGGGCAAGTTATTGTAATATTTAATCTCTTTCTGTGTCATCTGAAAAATGGGAATAACAATTGAATCTACTGTTACTATGAGAATTATAGTTGCTTAATTACAAGTAACTTGCTTAGAACAGTGCCTGGCAAGTAACAGACATTCAGTAAATGTAAACTATTGCAGTAAGTAGAATAATGGCCTCCCTAAAAATGTTCATGTCCCGCTCTGCAGTACCTGTGAGTATGTTATATAGCATGGCTAAGGAGAATTGAGGTTGCAGGTGGAATTAAGGTTGCTCTTCAGCTGACCTTTAAGATAAGGTGATTATCCTGAATTTGCCCCTGTGGGCCCAAGGTAATAACAAGGGGCCTTAAAGGCGGAAGAAGAAGATGTGACTATGGAAGAAAGGTACAGAGAAATACAGTATGTGACTGGAGGGGCTATAAGCCAGGGACTGTGGGCAGCTTCTAGAAGATGGAAAGCAGAGAAATGCATTCTTTCTGGAGAGCTTCCAGAAAGGAGCACAGCCTGCCAACCCCTAATTTCAGCCCATTTCTGTTGTCTAAGCCACTAAGTGTGTAGCAAATTTTGCATCATCAATAGAAAACCATATAGCTATTATCATAATTATTAATACTTCTACAATACCAGGGTAATTTGTAAGGTAAAAACACCCTCTTTAAGGTGTTAAAGAAGAAAAGGATTTGACTAGTCTGTAAATGTAAAAGCTATTAGAGCTTCACATATCCCATTTTCTAGAATATTATTAAAGTAAGCCTGAACTTTGTATTTGATTTCAGTTGATGGGATTTGGCAGGTTCATTCTCCACTGCCCAGAATACAGAGCTGGCTCTTCCTGTTGTCATCCAGTATTTGCTGTGTTTTCCTCTGGTAGAAATCACAGGTCCTAGATCCTTGAGACATCTAGCAATTTGGATTTTGTCTCCTTGTACTATTTAAGCAAAATTAAGATCCGAAAGGTGGTGTTGGATTTTACCTCCAGTGTAAAAATAGCAACTGTTTTCCATAGCCTTTTGCATCTGAGTTTGTGAGCGTATTGGAGATGCTGCTACCTGCACATTTTCAACAACAAAGAACACAATAGCTGTTACCATTAGCTAACAGATTTTGCTTTGACTCTCATCTGTTGCTCAGACGCTATTGACTTAGTTTCTTGTTTAAAAAAGGTTGATTGCTCTAAGGATCTCGAGGAGTTGGACGTGGCTTTGCTCTTGCTTGTGGGAAGCTAAGTGTTGTGTGCTTTTCTGATATTCACTGGCCGCTTTTGTGTTGATGACATGTAGTAGCACAGTTTAGCTCAGTTCATTCAACCTACTTCCTGTCGTTTTGAAAAAATGATGGGGGGTCTCATTAATTCCTATCTTTACATCTGTTGTCTGATTCCAGTAGGCATGTGTTTTGTTGATTGCAGAATTACCTCTTAGCAGATTCAACTATGGCTCTTACACAGGCCGTGAATTATTGTATGTTGAAATTATTGAATTATTGTATATTGAAAAATACACAGCTTAAAACCTACCAACTTTGGTAGTTTCCCTGTATGCTGTTACCTGCTGTTGAAAGAGAAGTTTAGAGGATCAAGATGCTTACATTTTTCCATTATGTCTTTCCTGTATTCTTCATGACACTACCCTGTAGAAAAGACCACCAGTGGCTTCTTGCAGCCGAAGGGTGAAGTTCAAACCCCTCCAAAAACAGCCCCATGGCTGTCAGCCCTACCCTGCCTTCCTGGGGTCTAGTAGATGTTTTCTAAGCACTGAAGAAAAATATCTTTTGGCTAAGAAAATCTTGCCCTGTCTAGAGTGGGAAATTCAAAAGTCAGTTCTTGATTTATCAATTATTTAATAAACTTGTCAACCCTTATATTCTTTAAGCTGAATTCTGTCACAGATTTGTGTTTAAAATCCATTCCTTTACATCATAGCAGCTATTGTCTCCTCTTGATATTATAGACCACTCACTTTGAAAACCTCTGGCCTATCAACTTGTTCTGGACCCTAAATGGAAAGGCTTGATGGCGATCAGGTATCTTTCTCTATACCCTTGGTCTGCCCAGGAAACTCCTTTTTTAATGGATTAACAAAGAACAAAGAGTAAAGCCTGCCAATCGGAATTTCATTTCTGATTTTAGT